CTCACTCTCCAATCCATAAAACCATATAATAATCACTACATATATAACCTATTAGTTATGATTTCAAATTATCTCCAAATCAATCAATATTTTTGATAAATAGGCTTCAAATATAAAATAAAAACTCGTTTATTCGTATAACAACTCTTAAAATTACAATTTTTAAAAATAACACAATATTTACTGTCGTTTATAATGAATACGACATAACAAACAAATACTTTTATTGCAATCCTTGTAATTGACTGAAACTCGGCCTCTAAATAGGTGTCCGTTAAGTATTTGGCAAATGTTTGGCAATAAATGTAGCCTTAAATTGGACTACAATTTATACAATAGTTAACATTATTGAAGAAACATTAACATTATCTAAACCAACATCTATGACATTTTAAAATATTATTATTTCAACAATGATTAAGTTATTTGTTGTAATATTAAGCAGAATATAGTTGAGTATTATTTTATTAAAACCTTTAATTCCCTGAATATAATTTGTAATGCAATTAAAGTGAATCAATTGAATGCAACACTTGAAGTAGTGTTGAGTGAGACCAGGCCTGTATCGGACAACTGTCCCTACAATTAGAGCCGTCTTTGTTGGTCAGCTCTGGTAAACCGAACCAATCGCTCGATTCTATGTATTGAAAATGTGTTGACAACAGATTCTGGATATAATTGACGGTCTGTTGTGTGTTGTCATTGAATTTAAGCAATGCCTCCAAATAATAGCCCAAAGGCCACAACCATTCCTATAAGGCATAGAATTCAACATAGATTCAAAATAGTACTACAATAATGTTCATAAAAATTTGTTTTTTATAACATACCGGTCCGTTATGATAGTTAGCCCCGTGTGCTAACTCTCTATTATCCGAATCGTTGCTATTGTCATAATCTCCACAATATTTTAAATCCCTTTTGACAAAAACACGCGATAAGTATACAAAATTTGTATAAATTTAATATAGGATTCAATTCTAAATATATTCAAACCTGGGATCAAGTGTTTTCACGCCTAACGGACCAATCAATACTTCTCTAACAATTTTGAGGGCTTCGATAGCATTGTTTCTATGAAAGAGTTCGGGCGCGACAGCCATTGCCACCAAAAAGTTAGGTCTGAGCTGATAGTCCATCCACTCAATAGTGGCGCCAAACGTATCTTTATATATGAGCCGACGATTAATCAGCTTATCGTCAGAATCGGCAGAAATATGAAAATATTTCTCAAAATTATCCTTAATTTTAAGACTCCATTCCTTAAACGAAAACTCTTTTCCGTCACTTTCAGTGACTCCACTGAACGGGTATTGCTTTTTGTCGGACAATTCGGCCAAAAAAGTGACCACAGATTTGCTCAGACCTATCAACTCAACGGCTGAACCGTCTCGCGGAGTACTGGGACGGCCCTTATTGCCGGCCTTTTGTGATGAACCCATTTTGTCCATCCAAGTGCCGCAGTTGTGTTCATTGCCGCCGAACACAAATCCAGTTTCACGTGAAACGCCTGCTTTGATGTGAAATCCTATAAACAGTTGACATGAAATGTTAAACTAGACTAAAACAAAACTACAATTGAATGCAAACCTCCTTCAGTCATGTGTTCATCAATTCGTTTTCCCGCATTTCTTTCGATGAAATCAATACCACTGAAATGTCTTTGAAGGGACTCTTGAATCGTTTTATAGAGCGGTTCTTCCACTATAGTGTCGGCGCTGAGAAGTGCCAGCGAATCATCGGTCGGATATAGTCGTCGCACCGGTTCTGACAATAATTGGACACCATTTGGGACAAGAAGGCAATAGTCTTTGATGGCCTGCAACCACCACCAAACGGCATCCCTGGCGTTATACCGAGAATTCTTCCCGCCGTCCAATAGATTGGGAATCAAACCGTGTCTTAGAGTCCCCGCAAAACCCAGTATTATATGCTTGGCTTCGGTGTACCGACCCGTCAGTATGAGAAGGCCTTTTACAGCGATGAAAGTGTCGCGACCCCAACACCGCATATATCCGGAGCTAAAGTGTGGCAGACCTGCGGCCAAAGTGGGCAACAGCTGCGACTCGTCCGCAACTTTGGGTGAAAGTGGCGGCAAAACTGCTGTCTTGTTTGTGCCGATAAGCGCCAGACCTCCCAAAGTCAAGAGCTGTACAAATTTGGATCCGTTTCGCACAAATGGCGAAGATTTAAGCCAAATCTGATCCAAAATGGATGTATAGATTCGGGTTATGATTGAATCAAAATAACGTGGAATTAGATATCGAGGAATTTGTGACAATGAAGTGAATGCATTGGACAGCCATTCAGACAATGCTATTGTTTTGGAATTCTTCTTCAGTCTATTAACGATGTAATCCATGAGCCAATTGCCGTCCCTTAGGTTACCGCACAGCGGATGTCCTGACAAACAAAATAATCATTAATTAAATTTAAATATCTTTAGGAATGACATCCAATTCATACCCAAATCATTCTCAGTTCTGATATGTCTTAAATAGTAGATAACACTAGCGATTCCGCAATAATTCATTTGTCCCATAGTTGGCAACCCATAGGCGCCACCAGATATGTCATCCGCTTCTTCGTGATTGCAGCGAAACAATACGAAATTCAAGTCATTTAATGACAACTTAGATATCAGGACATTGATGTCACTCTTGTTGTCCTCTAATTGTTGAATCAATTGATTTGTCTTCTGAACGGCATTCAAATGATAGGAACTAAACGACACTTTAAATGCAATGACAGAAGAGGGCGGAAATTGAGTGAATATTATCTCATAAGAGTCACCAATTCTATTGGCTTTAATCATTTCGCTGTCTTCTAAAGGAATATCACTTTTCAAATCAGATCTAAATTCTTGTAAACCATTGATGAACTGTTTATTTCTAACAAAATCGTCTTCTGGTTCGCCAGTCATTCGAGTTTCAAATAATATTTTATCGATTAGACCATCGATTCGAAGAGGATTCAGATATGGACTCGCTTTGGGATCATTGGGCTTATGAAAGGCGGTTCGCGCCACCAGAACAACAGACTCGTGAGTTATCGGGTTATGTCTCGTCACCGCAACCGTATCCACATCTCTTTGATCCACAAACTGATGGCTATATCCGTTAATCGCTAACCACTGATGGAGTCGATTAAATTCTCGCTTCGATTTAATAATCCCTGAATCCATTGAAATGCCTTTTAAGAAACAGATGTGATATTAATTGTTAGATTAAATCATAATTTGATTCATACAATAATACCTAAAACGCTGTTTGGATCCCAAGACATGTACTCTCGAGGTTCGTGGACAACATTGATGTGATGATTAACCAATTCGTCAAATCCGCGATTAGAGCCGATCGCCGAATATGTCATTGAGATTAATGCGGCCGACGGTAACGGATCATAGGCTGAGTGGCGGACAATA